AAAAAAATAAAGTTATAATATCCTTTCAATTTTCTGTAAATATTAAATTATTCCAAAGTAACGTTTATTTAAAAAATCTTGCCACAAAGTGCCAGGCAAGGTGGCACACGTTTATAATTCCAATGATGTGGTTGACCAACGCAAAAAGATTGTTAAGTTCAAGGGCAGTCTTAACAAATTCATTGAGACCCTGTATCAAAACTGGGCTTAATCCCAGTTAAAAAAAAAAAAAAAATTCCACAAAAAAATGTTCAGGCCAGAGCTGGGTACAGTGGTGTACAACTATAATCCCAGCAAGTTGGGAAGCTGAGGCAGGAGGATCACAAGTTCAAAGTCAGTCTCAATAATTTAGCGAGACCCTGCCTCAAAATAATAAAATTTAAAAGGCTGGGGATGTGGCTCAGTGGTTAAGCACCCCTAGATTCAATCCTCAGTACTAAAGAAAAATTCAGGTCAAAATGGCCTCAGGGCTGAATGTATGAAATACTTATACTATACAAAGTCAGAGAGAACAATTTCCAACTTGTGAATCCCCAAGAATAATATAAAAAAATCTTAACTAATTATTAGACAAACTCAGCAACATATAAAAAGAATTATTGACCAAGACCAGGAGTAGTTTATTCCAGGAATGCAAGGCTGGTTTAATATTAAAAAGAAAAACCTTATTACAATATAATCTATTAACAGAACAAAAGCTCTATGGTTATATGAGAATGAAAAAAAGTAGATAAYAAAAATCTAAAATCCAATCCAGTTATGATAAAAATTCTCATCAAGGCTGGGGTTGTGGCTCAGTGGTAGAGTGCTTGCCTAGCATGTGTGAGACACTGAGTTTAATTCTCAACACCACATATAAACAAACAAACAAACAAATAAAWAAATAAATAAGTCTATCGATAACTAATAAAAATTAAAAAAAAAATTCTCAACAAACTGAAACCTAAGGAACTTCTTAAGAGGTGCAACGGCCAGCCTGAGAGTGACATAGTGAGTGACTCAGGAGGCTAAGACAGGAGGATCTAGAGTTAGAGACCAGCCTCAGGCAACTTAGCAAGACACTCATCAAGTTGAGAGAGACTTTGTCTCAATATTTAAAAAAGCAAGGTGCAGTGGTAAATGTGTTTTTCCAGTGACTCAGGAGGATGAGGAGGAAAATCACAAGTTTTAGGTCAGCCTCAGCAACTTAGCAAGACCCTGTCTCAAAATAAAAAAAAGTAAAAGGACTGGAGTTTAACCCCAGGACATACATACACATATAAATATAAAAAATAACAAAAATAAAAAGCAAGTAAAGAAAAAAAAAAAACTTAGGGATAACCTCATTCAAAAAAGCAAGATGAGAAAAATTAAAGACCTATGGCTGGGAATGTGGCTCAGTGGCAGAGTTCTTGGCTAGCATAAGTGAGGCAGCAGATGAGGCTCTGGGTTCAATTACCAGCACCACAAAAACAAAATTAAGAAATTAAAGACCCAGCAGGGTGGTGGCGCACTGGTAGTGGTAATCCCAGTGTCTCAGGAGGATGAGGTAGGAGGCCTGCAAGTTCAAAGCCAGCCTTAGCAATTTAGCAAGGTGCTAAGCAATTCAGTGAAATCCTGCCTCTAAATAAAAAATTAAAATGTAAAAAAAAAAAAAAAAAAGATATTAAAAATCTAAATTAAAAGAGATATACCATGTTCACTGATTAGAATCCAATATTGTTAAAAAGGCAATACTTTCCAAATTTATCTTTAGATCAATAGTCATTTTTWAAAATATATATATTTATTTATCTGTTTATTTATTTATTTATTTTAGTTGTAGTTGGACACACACCTTTATTTTATTTATTTACTTACTTACTTTTATGTGGTGCTAAGGATCGAAACTAGGGCATCGCACATGCTAGGTGAATGCTCTACCACTGAGCCCAAACTCTAGCCCTAACAGAGTCATTTTTAAAAATTCTAGCCTCTAAGAAAAAAAGAAGACATTGAAAACAAGCTCATCTTAAAATTTAGATGGAATATGTATGCTATACAAAAAAAATGAGGGACTTACACTGATACCAATGCTTGCCATAAATCTAATTAAGACATGTTGTCGTAATTAATGTAATTAATTAATGTTATTAAGGCAGTGTGATGCTGCTACACATTTCAATCAATGTGACACAATAGAATGTAAAAACAGGGGGCTGGGGTTGTGGCTCAGTGGTAGAGCGCTTGCTTAGCATGCATGAGGCAGTGTGTTTGATTCTCAGCACCACATACAAATAAATAAAAAATAAAGGTCCATCAACAACTTTAAAAAAAATTTTTAAAAAAGAAGGTAAAAACAGGGCCTTATACTGATCAATTGATTTATTTCTTTCGTTTTTTCTTTTTTTTGTGGTGCTGGGGATTGAATCCAGAGCCTTGTGCATGTGAGGATGCAAGGCAAGCACTCTATCAACTGAGCTATATCCCCAGTCCAGTCAATTGATTTCTGACAAAGGTATAAAAAGGACAGTATTTCCAACAAATGGGATGGAACACCTGGGTAGCCTTAGGTAAAATAAACAATCCTCAACCTTTACCATAGCAACTTACTCTTCAAAAGACACGAAGAAAATGAAAATGGCTGGGGATATAGCTAAGAGGTAGAGCACTTACTTAGTGAGTTCAAGGCCCAAAGTTCAATCCCCAGAGCCACAAAAATAAATAAACAAATTAGTGACAAGACTGTCACATCTGAGAGAAATTATAACACTTACCTGGCAAAAAATTGGACCTAGAGTACACAAATAAGTCTTCAAAGTCATGGATAAAAAAATAAACTAGGGCTGGGGATATAGCTCATTTGGTAGTGTGCTTGCCTCACATGCACAAGGCCCTGAGTTCAATCCCCAGCACCACCAAAAAAATAATAATAATAATTAATGTTTAAAAAGACAAAAGATTTGAATAGGTATTTCCCCAAAGAACATGTATAAATGGCATATATGAAAAGATGTTCAACACCATTAGTCATTAGGGAAATGCAAACTTTAATAATATGGTACCATACACCAATTAGAATGGCTAACATGCTAAACTGACAACACCAAATAATGGTAAGGATGCAGAAAAACTGAAACCTCCATACTTTACTAAAGAGAATGTAAAACAGTATAAACACTTTGGTAAATAGTCTAGCAATTTATTAAAAAATCAAACATACAGGCTGGGGAAGTAGCTCAACAATGGAACTCTTTTCTTGACTAGGATATGGGAGGCCCTGGGCTTTCAATCCCTGATACCAAACAAAAAAAAAAAAAAAAAAAATCAAACCAGCACTTACCATAATACTCACAAACACTTATATAAACATTCACAGCATTATTCATAATAGCCCAACTGGAACTAATCTGAATGCCTATCAACTGGGGATGGATAAAAACACATGGTGAGGGGCTAGGGTTATGGCTCAGCGGTAGAGCGCTTGCCTTGCATGTGAGGCCCTGGGTTCAATCCTCACCACCACATATAAATAAATAAATACATAAAGATATTGTGTCCATCTACAACTAAAAAAAAAAAAAAGCACATGCTGAGGGCTGAGGCTATAGCTCAGTGGTAGAGCGCTCACCTAGYATAGGTATGGCATTGGGTTCGATCCTCAGCACCACACAAAAAACACATGGTGAGGGGTTGGGGTTSTGGCCCAGCGGTAGAGCGCTCGCCTCAAAGGTGCAAGACCCTGGGTTTGATCCTCACCACATAAAAATAAATGAATAAAATAAAGGTATTGTGTCCACTTACAATTAAAAAAATGAATTAAAAAAAAAAAACACATGGTGAAATCTATAATAGGASATTATTCCCCAATAAAAGACCAAACCCTGAAACATGCAAGTTGGATGAACTTCAACAACATTAAGGGACAGAAGCCAGACAAAAAGAAAAGCTAAGCMGTGATCCCCATGGTTAGAAAGGCTGAAGCAGGCTGATTGTGAGTCCAAAGCCAGTCTTAGCAATGGTGAGGCACTGAACGCATTGAGACTCTAAATAAAATACAAAATAGGGCTAAGGATGTGCCTCAGCGGTCARGTGCCCGAGTTCAATACCCTGAGAAAGAAAGAAAAGAAAAGCTATATATGTAGAGAGAAAGAAAGTGGACCAGTAGTCACTGGAAGTGACAGTGGAGATTTAAGGCAAACTGGCACAAGAAACTTTCTGGGTGATGCAAGTGTCTAAAGTTGGAGTACTATATATAAATGTACTAAAACTCAAACTGTACAAATTGGATAAAATCTGAGCCAGGTGCATTGGTGCATGTCTACTATAATCATAGTATACTACTATAATTGGTGCATGTCAAATTACTATAATCACAGTAATTTGAGAGGCTTCAATCCCCCATACAAAATAAATATGTTRGATAAATTTTATGGTGTGTGAATACTATCTTAATAAAACTGCTAAAAAATAGAGAAAAATCTATAGTTTTAGGGCACATACATGGGTGCTAAGGTCACGTAAAAAGAAACCTCTATTTATAAAATAGAGGTTAAACAGAATGGAGAAAGGAGGGGAATCAGGGTGTGGTATGTAGGGAACAGCAATGGTACTAACAATGAGACATTTTTTTTCTGTAATAAGTCAGACAGGATAGAATATATAGTTAGTGATAAGCGTTTTTCCTCTTGTCTATCTGCTCATCTTTCAGTATTTCAAATTAAATCCCGGAAATTTCCTATCCAAATTCTCATTTCTTACCTGAATCAATGCTGAGAACATCATCATCTTCATCAGGAATCTCAATTATCTCTGTAGGCTGAGAAGTTTCATCCTCAGAGCTACTGTCCCTGTACTGTAGTCCCAGCTTGGAGTAGAAGTCCTTCACCAAAGACTCACAATTAGTCACTGCCCTAATATTGGAACACACATAGAAACGGTCAAAGCCAGCAAAAGAAACAGAGACAGGAGCCATTAGAATTCATATACATTTTGGGCTGGGGTTGTGGCTCAGCAGAAGAGCGTTCGACTAGCATGCGCGAGGCCCTGGGTTCAAACCTCAATACCACATATAAATAAATAAATAAATAAATAAATAAATAAATAAATAAATAAATAAATAAATAAAATAAAGGTATCAGGTCTAACAAAAAAAAAAAGAATTCATATACATTTTTAAAAAAATATTTATTTTTTAGCTTTAGGTGGACACAATATCTTTATTTTATTTTTATGTGGTGCTGAGGATCGAACCCAGTGCCTCATGCATGACAGGTGAACACACTACCACTTGAGCCATATCCCCAGCCCCAGAATTCATATACATTTAAGTGTATAGTGTCCTCAACTTGAATGGGCCCTATAGATTTCAAAATGTCTCTATTTAGAACACATTTCCAAAACAAAGCATTTTTTTTAAAAAGAGAGAGAATTTTAATATTTATTTTTTGGTTTTTGGAGGACACAACATCTTTGTTGGTATGTGGTGCTGAGGATTGAACCCGAACCGCATGCATGCCAGGCGAGCGTGCTACCGCTTAAGCCACATCCACAGTCCCAAAGCATTTTTTTTTTTTAAAGAGAGAGAGAAATTTTTTTTTTAATATTTATTTAATTTTTTTTTAGTTTTTTGGCGGACACAACATCTTTGTATGTGGTGCTGAGGATCAAACCTGGGCCAAACGCATGCCAGGCGAGCGTGCTAACGCTTGAGCCACATCCCCAGCCCCCCAAAGCATTTTTTTAAAATAGATTTTTAAAAACATTTTTCAGTCATAGATGGACACAATACCTTCATTTTATTTACTTTTATGTGGTGCTAAGAATTGCACCCAGTGGCTCACACATGCTAGGCAAGCGCTCTACCACTGAGCCACAACCCCAGCTCCAACAAAAGCATTTTAAACGGTGGTTTGATTTCCAGACTAGTTCCTCAAAAATTCAAAATTATGGGGCTGAGGATGTGGCTCAAGCTGTAGCGCGTTCGCCTGGCATGCCTGCGGCCCAGGTTTGATCCTCAGCACCACATACAAAGAAAGATGTTGTGTTGGCCGAAAACTAAAAAAAAAAAAAAAAAAATTAAAAAAAAATTCTCTCTCTCTCTCTCCCCCTTTTCTCTTAAAAAAAAAAATTCAAAATTACCCTGGAGTACAGTATTTTCCACCTTATATCATCAGAATTTGCCTTGCTGTTATGTGAAACTGAATTCTAAGTGACAACTAGGGTATCAAGAACAAATCTAGAGGGTTTAGAAACTTATTCATGCTTCACATTTACACAAAACAGTAATTCTAAAATCTTTACACCCTGGATGATCTTACTAAGGAAACAACTGACTTAGAGTACAGGAGGAAGAAGAAGTAATTTAAGACTTGGACTTTCTTATACTGACCATGTATTAKCCTCAGATAGGTGAAAATTACACATATGGGTGCGCGATTGTGAGGTTAGAGCTSAGACCATAAACTCTGAAGTAGAGTAAGGTTCCACACATCTGTATTTTATACAGTGCTTGGTATAATATCATGAAGAATTATACTTTTAAAATATCTGCCAATCAGATGCTGTGGTCTGTACCTATAATCCCAGCAATTTGGGAAGCTCAGGCAGGAGGACAACCTCAGCAACTTATTGAAGCCCTAGGCAACTTAGTGAAACCCTGTCTCAAAAACTAAAATATAAAAGGCTTGGGATGTAGCTCAGTGGTAAAGTGCCATGGGTTCAATCTCCATTACCCTCCACCCCCCAAAAAATCTGCCAGTCGGCTGGGCAGTAGCGTACTCCTGTAATCCCAGCAGCTCAGGTGGCCGAGGCAGAAGGATTATGAGTCCAAACCAGCCTCAGCAATGGCGAGGTACTGAGCAACGAATTGAGATGCTGTCTCTAAATAAATAAAATACARTAGGGCTAAGGATGTAGCTTAGTGAGTGCTCCAGGTTCAATCCCCAGTACAAAAAAAAGAAAGAAAGAAAAAAAAATTTGCCAGTCAACAGATTTTCCATGTAGTCCTCACCTGGATGCATCATCAAAGAGTTGGTCAACATGAGCCACTTCAGATTCTTTCTGTATTACCCACGTCTCCAACTCTGCTAGCTGCTTCTTGCGCTGTTGTACACATTCCATCTTTTCCAATTCTTCATCAATGAACTGTCGAAGTTCCTCCATAGAGATACCAAGCTCCTCAACCACGGCCTGTTGTAGTTCTGCAATCTCTTCAGATTCCACTGCAGCTGTTGCTGCATCCAGACCAATACACCCAGGGAGGGAGGACATGCTTTTGTTCTCTGAATGGAACAAGAAACTAAAATTGCTTTGAATTCATTATGACCACAATTAATAGAGAATTTCTATGCAAAACTCTGCCACCTGTCTTTCAAATAACCTATGTTCTTTCTCCTCATTCTCCAGAATTTGATGCTGCAATTCTGTGGAATTCTTTCCTGCTATAGATTAACAGGTCTAAGACTTAAATAAATAAAATAAAGGTATCAGRTCTAACAAAAAAAAAAGTATCAGAGCCCTAGCAGTGTTGTATGCCTGTAATCCAGCAACCTGGGAGGCTGAGGCAGAAGGATCATAAATTTGAGGCCCGCCTCAGCAATTTGCAAGACCCTGTCTCAAAATAAAAAGGACTGAGTATGTAGCTCAGTGGCAAATCACCCCTGGGTTTAATCTCCAGTTTTGGGGGAAAAAAATAAAGTTGTTTCAGAGCATGTGGAGAACATTCTTTGTGTAATACTGAAAATGTTTTAGGACGCTCAAGTGAACCAATCTAAAAAGAAAATTCTGTATGTGCACGCCTGTAATCCCAGCAGCTTCGAAGGCTGAGGCAGGAGGCTGGCAGGTTCAAAGCCACCCTGAGCAATTTAGCAAGACTATAAGCAACCTAATGGGGAAAAAAAAAATTTTTTTTGAAACCTACCAGTCTCAAAAAAAAAAAAGAGGGGGGGGGGCAGGACTGGGGATGTGGCTCAGTGGTTAAGTGCCCCTGGGTTCAATGCCTGGTAACAAACATAAATAAATACAAAAGAAAAATATTTCTGCAACTTAATGTGTTCCATTAATTTATTAATGAGATAAATATTTACACGTTGTGCCTAATTTAAACAGCCCCTCCCACCTGAGAAGGGGTTTGATCTACAACTCACTAATTCGGTGTTTTCTCCTTTATGCTTGTTTCTCTTACTTTGCTTCCACGCAGAAATTTCCTTTTTAAAAATCCTACCACGCTGGGGGGTCTAACTCCGTGAAGGTGTGCTTAACACGTGCAAGACCCTGTTTCCATCCCCAACACTAAAAAAAGTGTTTTGGGGGGTGCATTTCAGCGTCCAAAAGCTCACAGCAAAAAGGTTTTCCGAAGTAAACAGAGTAAAGCAACCTGGGAATGAGACGCGGCTAGTGTCCACAGTCCGACATCGCGCACATTCCCCCTAACCGCCTCTCCACCAAAGGCTCCACAGACTCTGCAGCCGGAGCCCCTGCGGCCCAGCGCCGGCTCCCAGCGCCTCGGGTCGGCGCGACGCCCACCCGCACGAAGCCCCTTCGGTGCGTCCCGCTCACCGCAGACCCAGCTCAGCCCCGCCCCCGCTCGCGCCTCAGCCAAGACCCTCGCCGGACCTCCGCCCACAGACAAAACATCAAGTCTCGGCTCCCTAGGTCCTCAAGTAGCAGTGCTCCCCACACCTCCCTGCTTCCAGCTACAAGAGCTTTTTCACCGACCGGACCCCAGACTCAAGACTCAGGGGGTACACTCACGACTCAGGGGTCGGCCTCGACCCGAAAGAGCGAAACCGAAGGGAAAAGGGAGTGAGGGAGGGGAAGCAGCGTGAGGGTGGGAAGGGGAAGCAAAAGAAAGGCCCGGAAGCAAACGTCGAGGCCGTTCCGGTCACCGCGACGGTAGCCTAATGGGGTCAAATCCAAAGCTCCGGAACACAGAAAACCAAAGCGATCACGCATGCGTTAAGGTAGGGCCTTACAGGCACTCGTAAGGATCCCCCAGTGGGGCAAAGGAGGCGTGGCCAGGAGATTTTACAAACCTCCGCCCCAACACTGTGGCCTCAATACTGCGTTTACTGTGTGACAACTTAGTTGGCATCTGAGGGTTTTTCCTGTAAAGTTGTTTTTACTAAGAAAGTTGTAAAAATTATAAAGGATATCAAAGCAGCAAGATGTGGGCTGGGTCAGTAGCTCAGTGGTGCACCGCTCACCTAGCCTGCATGAGGCCCTGAGGTTGGATTTTGGGTGCAGGGGGAAAAAAATGAAGAYATACTTTAGAAAAACAAAACAATCTCTTCTCCTTCCTCATCACATATCATCTGGCTTCTTTGAAGCAAAATAYCTTAGTTTTCCAGGCTGATACGTTCAAATTCCTGTATAAACATTTTTGTTTTCATTTTTTTAAAATTTTTTTTAGTTATAGATGAACACAATATCTTTATTTATTTTTATGTGGTGCTGAGAATGGAACCCAGAGTCTCCCACTTGCAAGGCAAATGGTCTACCACTGAGCTACATCCCCAGCCCTTGTTTTCATTTAATGAGGACATTCCTGAAGCAAATAAAATAAACGAAACTTGACTTTTTGACAGCTGCATAGTATTTCACAGTATGGCTAAACCAAATTTATATTTTTTTCCCATTTTTAGTCACTTCAAACAATGTAAAAGTTAATATTAGCATTCAAAGTAATACTTTTATTTCTGTAAAACACATTCCTGAAAATGAAACCTGAGTTTTTTTTAAATACACTTTTTAAAATTTTAATAGACTATGCTTTCAAATTACTTTTTCAAAACATAACAATCATTGCTCCCTCTAGCAAATCTTTGACAGTATCTCTTTCCCCACGCCCTTATTAGGCATGTATGTTGAGTATCTATTTTATTTTTGAGAATTTGAATCTGTGAAAGTAATATATAAGGAAAGACTAGATTGTGTTGTGTGCTTTAAAGCTATTTTTTCTTTATGTCTAAAAATAGGTCTAAAAATATGTTTTTAGTTGTTGATGGACCTGTATCTGGTGCTGAGAATCAAACCCTGTGCCTCACACATGCTAGGCAAGTGCTCTACCACTGAGCCACAACCCCAGTCCTCTATGACTATAAAATAAAATTCAATTTCCACAGTATAAAATCTGAGATTTTTCATAGTTTGGCCCCAATTTACTTCACTAACCATATTTCCCATCCCCCCTTCACATTCCTAATGATGTTCCATTTTTCCAATATATTCACATATTTCACTTTTACTTTTCCATACCCTTAGTTRTTGTGTGTCTGTTCCCTTTCTCTGCCTATTAATTCTCTAAGATCCAAATCAAATATCTTCTCTGTGAAGTTTTCCTGGACCAACAATTTAAACTTTCACCTGCATCAGAATCATACCTAAAGGGCTTGTTAAAACAGGTTGCTGCCCCTATGTTCACTGCAGGAACGGATCTGAGCAGAGCTGAGAATGTTCATGTCTACGTTTTCCCAGGGAGCTTCCCTACTATTGGTCCTGGGGCCAGAGTCTTAGAATCACTGTCCTAAACCATCACTCATTCCCTGCAAAATTAATTCCTGCCTCTGTGCTCTAATGACCTTAGTCCATTCCACTTGTAAGTTACCGGTGTATGTATATGTCGCCTCTGCTTGTTCATGAACAACTTTGAGATCTTGTCTAAATCATCTTTGTTTCCCCTGGCACCCGATATATGTGGTGTTCCATAATTTATGATGAATGAGGGAAAATCTTTCTCACTCTKGTTGAGTTATATCTCTATTTGATTCTTTCAGCTTTCCATGTGGGGGAATGAGGAATGGGGAATGTTAAAGGGAAACAGGATGCTATTTTGGATCATCATATTCTACTTTCTTCATTTTCCTGAGAGGACTGAAAAGGTCAATTCTGTATAAATGAGTGGATGGACTCAAAAGTGTCACCTAAGGCTTTGCTACTTGATATGCGTTCAGGGAACTAATTAAAAAATTGAAATCTCCCCAGGGTCAGTGACTCTCACAGGTAATCCCAGTGACTTGGGAAGCTGAGGTAAGAGAATTACAAGGTTGAGGCCAGCCTCAGCAAATTAGCAAGGCCCTCAGCAACTTATTGAGACCCTGTCTCAAAAATAGAAAGACCAGGGTATGTAGCCTAGTGGCAAAGCACCTGTAGGTTCAATCTTTAGTACCAAAAAAGAAAGAAAAAAAAAAAAGAAAATTGAAATCTCTGGTCCTACTCTAGACATACAGAATCAGAATTGTGTTTTACTTTTTTATATTATTTTTATTTACTGTTCAGTGTTGGGGATTGAACCCAGACCCTCATTCATCCCAGGCAAGCATTCTGTCATCGACCAGACTCTGAATTTTGATAAGATTCCCCAGGAAATGTATTCACAAAAATTCACCCTGTATGAAAGTCAGGTTTAAGTTGTATAATTTCTATTACAGTAGGACTTCATAGTTAGGAAGCCAAGTTCTGGCTTTTTGCTTTTAAGGTCTAAAGACTAACTCTTATCAAAGGTGATTAAGCCTTGACATAAATGACACAGTATTAAATTTTGCAAATTATTGTAGGGGATAGTTCTTTGCCATTGTCGATATRAAGTAATTTGTAACTGGTACCCCAATTGGAATACTCAAGTGTGCTCAACACATTCACTCCTATAATCCACTGAGTACATTGGAAAACCACAGCCCTGCTCTATTCGGTACTTGACTGTGAGAAATCATAGCACAAGGCTCAAAACAATGGAATGCTAAATAATCCTTTCCTACAGTCAGACTGAAGGGAAATTAGATCGTAATCCGAAGGGAGCTGAGTGATCTCAGAATCAAAACAAAAGCAGTTTGGGGTGATTGAAAACCCAAAGGTTTGCAGGCACCTGGAAGGTTATGTAATCAAGCGAAGTGAGGTAGGTGAGAGCTGTGGCTACTGGGAAGTAGGTATCTCACATAACAGTGGCACTTGCTGCTCAGCTCCGTCGAGTCTTGGTCCCGTGCAGTATAGCAGTATAGTGTTGTTCTATCTTCCCATTTTCTGTCTCACTCTCTTTTGTTATTGTTGTTGGTGGTGGTGGTGGTGATGGTGGTGGTACTGGGAAATGAACCAGGTGTGTTTTGCCGCTGAGCTACATCCCAATCTCTTTTTACTTTCTTTTGGGGGTTATCAGGGATTGAACTCAGGGGCACTCGACCACTGAGCCACATCCCCAGCCCTATTTTGTATTGTATTTGGAGACAGGGTCTGACCAGGTTGCTTAGCYCCTGACATTGAATTCACGATCCTCCTGCCTCAGCAGTCCGAGCTGCGGGATTACAGGCAGGTGCCACTGCACCCAGCCCTTTTTACTTTTTACTTTGAGAGAAGGGCTCACGAAGTTGTTCATGACCTCACTAAATTGCTGAGGCAGGCCTCAAACTTGTGATCCTTCTGCCTCAGCCTCACCTGGCTTGACCTTCCCACATGGTTAACACACATCTTTAAGGCCTGTTATGGTGGTATGTGCCTATAGTCCAAGCTGTTGAGGGGATTAAGACAGGTGAATTGCTTGAGCCCATGATTCAAGACCAGCCTGGACAACAGAGCAAGACCCCATCTCAGAACAAACAAATGAAAAATGCACACTTGATGTGAAAGCTCCTAAGTTTTAAATGTTGGCAATTAATTAGAAAAATTAATTAGCAATACTTTTTTATATCAGCAGTTCAACTTCTAGGAAATTACATACTGTTGAGATTACCTTCTTTTGAATTTGCATGACGTTGAAATGATATGAGTGCTAAGTTATCTAGTAGAACATTATTTGAAACAGTACAAAATGAAATAGGAAAAAAAAAAAGAAAAGAAACATAATACAGATTCTATTCCCAAGGGTTGGTTAGATTATGGCAGACTCAAATAATGGAATACTTTTCAGCTATATTTTTTTTTAAAAGGCAAAGGATGATTTTTGTGTATTGATATGGAATCATCTTCAATCTACAATATGAAACAAAAAAGCAGGTGCAAAGCATGTAYAAAGTATGGTATTGTTTGTGTAAATGCTGGGGGAAAATAAGCAATTTTTTTCTCACATACCTATAAAATGTCACCAGGAGGATGTTTAAGAAGTCGGGAACACGGGTGGTCTCTGAAGAGGGGAACTGGAAGGAGGCAGGGGGGAAGGAGAGCAGGAATTTCACTGTACCCTGTTTGTACCTTTTTGAAATTTGAAACATGAAAATAGATATTCTATTCAAAAATGTTATATTAAAAAAGAAAAGAAAGATGTTTGGAAAGATATACATATATACAAGACCAAACTATTTAACACTAGTTACCTTTTAAAAGAAAAATGGGAAGGAGACCAGGCACTGGTGACGTTTGGAAGCTAACTTTTTTTTTTTTTTTTTTACTATCTCTGCCATAGTGTGGATCTTGAATGTCCTCCAAAGTCTTGGTCCCCAGCCTTTGGGGCTGTTGGAAGGTGGTGAAAGCCTTAAGGGGTGGGACCTAGCAAAAGAATTTTGGTTGTTGGGGTGTGCCCTAGAAGGGCATGTTGGGGCCCGGGCTCCTCTTTCTCTCTTCCACTTCTTGGGGACTATGAGATGAGCAGCCTCCCTTGCCACGTGCTCCCACCAGGATGTACTGTTTCTCCACAGGCCCCAAAGCAATGGATCAACCAACCCTAGAACGAAACCTCAGAAACTGTAAGCCAAGGTAAACACTTCTTCCTTTATTTCCCTTGTGTCACTGATGATTGAACCCAGGGATGCTCCAGCACTGAACTAATCCCCAGCCCTTTTCTTAAAAAATTTTTTTTAATTTTTTTTTTAGTTGTAGATGAATACAACATCTTTATTTTATTTGTTTTTATTTTTATATGGTGCAGGGATTGAACCCAGTGCCTCATCAGGCTARGCAAGTGCTCTACCACTGAGCCACAACCCTAGCACCAAATTTTTTATTTTTAAAAAATTTATTTATTTATTTTGGTACCAGGGATTGAACCCAGGGGTGCTTAACCACTGAGCAATATCCCTAGTCTTTTTATTTTTTATTTTGAGACAGGATCTCGCTATGTTGCTTAGAGCTTCACTAAGTTGCTGAGGGTGGCTTTGAACTTGCAAACCTCCTGATTCAGCCTCCCTAGCTGCTGGGATTATAGTCTTGTGCTAGCATGCCTAGCAAATTTTTTTTGATTTTTTTAAAATATTTTTTTTAATTTTTTGATTAGACACAATACCTTTATTTTGTTTATTTTTTTATTTTTATGTGGTGTTGAGGATCGAACCCAGGGCCTCACACATGCTAGGCGAGCAGTCTACCGCTGAGCCACAAGCCCAGCCCGTGATTTTTTTTTTAATTTACTTTTTAGTTATAGTTGGACACAATATCTGTATTTTATTTTTATGTGGTGCTGAGGATCGAAGCTAGTGTCTCACACATGATAGGTGAGCGCTCTACCTCTGAGCCACAACCCAGTCCCAATTTTTTTGATTTTTGAGACAGGGTCTTGCTAAGTTGCCAACGCTGGCTACAAACCTACGATCCTCTTTCTTTTTTCTTTTTTTTTTTTTAAGAGAATTTTTAATATTTATTTTTTAGTTCTCG